CAAGATTCTTGATGTTCAAAAAGCTTGATGAACCGAAATTGGTCCACATCTGTAGATTAGAAACCGATATAAATGATATTAGAATAAATCTACTTTATTTTTTTGAACATTGAATGTATTTAAACATAAAATTAATATATGTTATAGCTTATTTTAAATTCAACTGAATTGCCAGAACTTTTGCACAAGCGGACTGGCTAAAATCAATATTTTTTTTTTCAAAGTACAACATCATCTTTACTTGATTTTTATCAATACGTAATGTATAATGAATATATATTTTATAACTATAAAGATATTAAAATTTATGATACATACCGTGTTTTCAGTAAATTTTGTTTTCCATTAGAAAAAACCATTTTATCGGTAAATAGCTTTCATTAAACAGGGTTCAAAATTATCGATTGGTGTCTTGTTTTGTTTATTGAGTCATATACACACATTAGTATAAATACATTACATGTAGGTAACAATGTGATAGCTATAAAATACCTTACGGTATCAACAGTTGAATTTGAATATATTCTAATTGTTTTTCTACACAACACGATACGATGTGATTATACCTACTTAATTATTACTGTTCAGAATAATATACTATGCGATAATAATATTTTATAATTATCGTATATCTAATGTTACGTTTTTAATTTATTCATAACATTTATAATGTGAATACTTAATATTTAATTAGATAAATCTAACCGTATTAATTTATACTATAACAAAATAAATATTAAAATAATATTGCATCATAATATTAAATAAAATGCATATACGGTGTAGTAAATTCATATTATATTGATAAATGTAATTTTTTGGCAAAAAAAATAAATAGATAACTTTTCAGCGTGCTTACTAACAAAAATGTAGGTATAATAACTACCACTATATATTTTGCTAGTATTTATTTCCATGTATTTTCTCCATTTTCCGTAAAGTGAAAACCGACATTATTATCACAGAATAAATGAAAGTCCATTAATTCTGTGATATTATTTTGATGAGTTATAGCTGTTATTTAAACACAATATTTTAAAGAATATATTTATTTTATTGATTTGTTTATATATATTGTACTGTTATTATCATATGGTAGGTACAGTAAGTAGACTCTCAATAACTCGAAATTCAAGAGACTGAGCAGCAAATTCGATTTACCTAACGAAAGTTTGAATTCTCGAAGATAAAAGAAAATAATTTTTAAAAAAAAAATCACGAACTATGATATATAAAATATATGTATCAACGTAGTTCGTGCAAAAAATACTACCTGTGACGGCTGTGATTGAATCACTAAGCACAGTAAAGTATTTCGGTTTCAATTTTGAACACGGATTTGAATTTGTTTCTAAATTATTTATGCTTTGATTATTTCGTAATTTAATTTTGTTCTTGCTTAGAAATTAAATTATGAAATAATCAAACCATAAATAATTGAGAAATGAATTCAAATCCGTGTTCAAAATTAATATCGGAACATAATATTGGGCATAGTGATAACTAGTTATAATAATCTAATCTAATTTTAGAAAGAGTAAAAATGAAACACTTTAGCCTTTTTACTTTTTAGTAAGTAGATACGTGCTTTGTTTGATTCCCCTGAGACTTTTTGTACTTTCTATAGTTTTTAAACTCATTTTCAATAAATAATTGTTGAAATTAAACAACATTCTGCATAAATTTGGTATATCGTATATGTAACTAATGTAACTATGTAAGATATAGCACACACTATAATTGAGTATGATCACATAAGAATGCTTATTGATTATTATATACATTTATCATAGAAACGGATAATACATGATAGGTACCTATATATTATATATACAACTATCAAGTATGAATATACTTAATAAAGATAATCAGTTGAGTCATGCGATTTGTAGGCTTTACACATTCTTAAATTTAATCTTTATTCTTTTAATAGATTTTATATTACAAACATTTTCTAGCTTTTATTCTCAATAACCTATGAACAAAAATAAAATTATTTATGATAAATAATAATAAAAGTACCTACATTTTTATTTTAAATCATACACAAACATAAAGTTACTTAAAATTGTTAGCATATTTTGTTAATTGTATCTAACAACTATTTTATATGTATAATGTACAATTGAATAAGTCGATATTAGCCAGATAAACATACGAGTATTAAATACCTATTACCTAATATTAATACTAACCACATATAAAATTATATTAGCTGAGAAGTTTTGAATAATTTTTAGACAACTATAAAATTCATGAGATATGATATTTTTAAACTATCACTAACATTAAATAGATATATCAATGACATAATTAGCACCTAATAAGTAATTATCATAAACGAATAAATATTAATAATATAAATAATATAATGTAATAATTATTTTTACACAATATCAGTGAAATGTACAAATACATGATTTTAATTTTCTGAGCATTTAAAAAAATAAATATATATTAAGTCAAAATAAATTTTTATTTTATTAGGTGTAATGTGTATAATATACAAATATGAAAAATACTTTAAATATATTATATTAAGGTTTATTAATAGATCCTTAATATATTAATTAAATATAATTTTATAGTAGATAGCATAAATATCCACATATTACAGCCAGATAATAAAAAAAGTTCTAGATCAGTGGTTGGCAACGTTTTTGAAGTCTCGAGCCTGCACATTCACAAATGTAAAAAGTTTCGCGGGCCACACAAAAATAAAAATTTCATACTTATATTATTTATTTATTATGAAGAAAAAATACTGCTATAGGTATTCATTTAATTTGTAATTTTAATATTGAATAAAATAAAATGATGTTTTATAATAGTGTGGAAATTATAACTGTATGAAAACATATTTAATGCGATTTATGCTGTTGGTTTTGCTCATCAGTTAATTATGACCGGAGTAGGTTTTTAATTTTTTTTCATGTGAGAAAAGGCCTGTTCACATACGTACGTTGATCCAGACATGCTTAAGTATTTTGCAGCTATCATTTTTATTTTTGCAAATTCTGAAGAAAGTTCAGAAAAACATAGTGAAGGTGAAAGTTTGAATGCATTTTTAAAAGTATTTTGCAGTGATTGTAAATTTATCATTTCCATTTGAAGATCAACAGGAACTTTATTAATATCTATATTAAATGTATTTGAGATTAATGTTCAATATTGTGAACATTGTTTAAAATCTTGAAAGCGTTTATTAAATGCATATTGAAGTGTCAAAATAGTCAAAATACCTTCAACAAACTTAACTGTCGAAAATGAGAATTTCGACGATTTAAACAGACTTACACGTGCTGGAAAATGTGTTAATTCATTTATTTCAGTATGAGACCGAAAAGTTTTAACTTAGTTTCAAACGATTTAATACGAGACCACGTATCAGGAATAAATTAATTTTTACCTCGGTAGTTTTATGTTAATTTTTTTCATATACTTCAATATATCAACGACAAATAGCATACATTAAACTACACACATAATGTTATACTTTATCATGATTCACGACTGATTAAATAAAATGTACAGTTAAATTATTTTTATTGAATATGTTTGGAATTTCGTTATACATGTAGTTATATAATATGAAATTAAATTTCGTCAAGCGGGTCACATAAAATAGATGCACGAACCGCCGATTGCTGACCATGATTTATGATACAAATTTTTCTGTATAATATGATTTAAGAAAACTGATTAAGAGTTAAAAAATTGTGAAGTACATATGTTTTTTATAAAATTAATTTAAATAACATAATAATAATTTTGAAATAATAATTAATATTACATTTTACTTTTTGCATAGGCACTATTAGTACTTACAGTTGTGAGAAATTAAAAATATTCATTGGTAAAGTGGTAAACCTGGGATATTATTGTTTAACTGTTAACTAAATAATTTTAGATCACACTAAAAAAACTGAAAAAAACTTATTGTCAGATGGTGTCTCGTGAGAATTATATGTATCCGCATTTTCTGTTAAAAACTATTAATATATAAATGCATTTGTAATAAGTTGATGAGAAATATCTCTTATTAATAACTTCTATATCATATTATGTTTCTTCAAATTTTCTCTAAGAAACTATATTCTAATTATCTGTTAATGGACTCTGCATGTAATAATTTTATCTTTTGGATTTAATGCACAACAGTTATCCTTAAAAAATACTGAATATTTATATAAATTAGTTATTGTACATTAAGTTAAGGTTAATAAAAACTGTTGATTAAAATGCTTTACTTTAATATATTATATAATTAAAAATATAAATAAAAATATTATAAATATATTTATATTTAGTATATAATCATATTGTTTATTCATTAGTTGACTACTAAGTTGAACAGTTGGATCAGTGGATAATCAGAAATATTTTCCTGGTAAAACATTTACAATTATTTATGGTTTTGTTAAGTTTTTTTTATAAATTTTAGTTGGCCTTTGGCTAAAACTCAATATTTGGAAAATGTATCACATAATATGATATAAATTAATCATCTCCAAAAGATATATCCATTAAACTACTACCATATAGGTGTCAGATGTTAATAAATATTTTTAGAGACAATAAGAATGATTCTTTATGTTTAGGGGTATGTTCATGAAATGTCTAAACATACATATCACACAAATATAAATAATACATGCTATACAATTTAATCAAGTAAGCAAATATTTATAATACTATTCATATTTATAAATTTAACATTATAAATTGAATAATTACTAGTTTACTAGCATATACATATACAAAACTAATAAAATTATAAAATAATCTCTTACAAAAAATGTAATTATAGAACAAAAGTATCTTTTATTGCATATTTTTCATACAAAGTGTTAAATCATTAATTAATAAAATAAAATAATTTTCCTCAATATTTGAAAACCAATTTCATTAATACATAATAATATTATACATTAATTAATAGAAGTATATAAAATCATAATCAGAACACGTGATTAGATACAATATTATTTTTATCATGTTAATTTCCAAAAATGTCAGATTAAATAAAATAATCATATTATCTGAATAACAATTTGTCAAATTATTACATTTTTGGCCTTTTGGGAACTCCAGTTAAAAGATTAACACTCTTTTCTCTTTTCATTGAAGGATTTTTATTTGATCCAGGTACATTGCTGTCTTGTAACCATCTTACTTGTGTAGCTGGTCCATATCCCTTCTCATTTTTTGCAGCAATTCGAAATATTATAGCTGGCTTATTAGTCCTATCAATCAGCGCAGCCCCAAGTGACTCATGACTAACCACAGCAGCATTATGAGGTCCACAATAAACACGAACAAAATTTAAATTTGTTGAAGTTGGTTTTGGACTTTGATGTGGTATATCCTTGGAACTTTTAATGGCCAAACAAACAGAATATTCTAAAATCTTACCAGAACTAGTAGGAGGGGCTTCCCATGTTAAACTAGCACCATCTGGTGCTTTTGTAATTTTAATAGCAGATGGAGCACCTGGATAACCTGGTAAACAAGTCTTAAATGCAGATATTTCACTCCATTCTCCACGACCACAAGTATTTATAGCAGCTATACGAAGTTTATAAGCTGTGCCTGGTTGAATATCAATTTTTAATTTATTTGTATAATCTGGTAAATGATCTAAGCTAGTATTTTCATGTTCATCAGTAGTAGAAGTTGAGTAAAATTGTTTCACTAAACAAGTAGTGCCTTTAATAACACCAACATCACACCATGCTGGTCCTTCTTGTTTAATTTGTACTGTTGGTTGTACAGATTTTGATACAACACTTTCTGCAGTTCCATTGGTTGGAGGTGCCTGGTTTAAAGCAGCAGTTGCTAATGTTGACAATGCATCAGCAATATCATTATCAGACTTTTTTTCTTCTTTCTGATCGGTCTTATCAACTTTGCTTAAAGAATTTTCAAGATTTTCAATTTTAATTTGGTCTTCATTTTTTATAAGATCTGATTTTATTTCAAGTAGGGCAGGTCCGACATTTTGTGATGGTTCATCAGTTAAAAATTCAGATAATTCTCTCATAACCAAATCTTTTAATTCAGAATCTTTCATACTTAACACAGATTGTTGATCTAAATCAACTCCATTATCTTCAAGTTTGATATCATTATTCAAAGTTGAATCAGTGACACTGGTGACAGGAATAACTTGTTGACTATCTTTTATTAAACTTTCTTGATTTACTGGAACAATTTGATCTTGAGTAGGTTCAATTGAATTATCTTGAGTAGGAACTGCAGATTCCATTAAATTATCAGTTGTTGTTAATAATTGATCTGATATAGGTATAGGTTGATCAACAACACTATCTTGCTGTATTGGATCGCTAACTACAGGTGTAGTGTTTTCAACTTTTTCTATGTCTTCCGATGTTTTTTCAGCAACTAATTCTAATTTTTCAGGTTCTTTGACTTTATCAGTATCCTCAACGGGTACTTGCTCTGGTTCTGGTTCTGATGTTGGCGTTTGTTCAGATTCAGGTTCAGGTTCAGTTACTGATTCCTTGTTCTCTTGATCAACTGTAGAAGCTTCATCTGTTATTTCTGAGGTAGCTAGTTGATCAGGATTATTAATTTCAGATTCAATGGTTTCTGTTTTTGCAGAATTATCAATGATATCTTTATCGTCCATGGTTTTAAGTATAGATAAATAAAATATCTGTAAATCACAAATAAAAAAAAATGTAAATATTTTAATATTGATCAACTTATTTGAATAAAATTGCATACTAAATAAAATAATGAATGGTAATATTAAAATAACTATGTACTAAATCAATTTTTAACCCTTCATGACTCATATATATAATCTAAACACAGCTACTCGCACGGAGAGTAATTTACTCACCAGGTATATTCTATCATAAAAGTAATAATTTATGGACAAATAAATGTATAATAATAAAGTATAATTAATAAACTAACATAGAATAAAAAAATGTAAAGTTTTTAATCAATCCAATAAAAATGAAGAATTATTTAGTGACTCCATATTTTCATCTAACCACGAGAAAAATTTAACTGACATATTTTAAATAAATTTTATTTAGAGGTGGTCAATAGGCTACATGCAGTTTGTGGAAAACTTTATTGGTTTGCAGAGAAAATTATTATTTTTATGGTAAATTAAATGAAGTTATTATTAATTTTCATTACATTTTTTGATTTTACATTCTCTTTCTTTGTATTGTTATGAACATTAAATTTTATTGTCCCAAAAATCTTCTTGAATTCTCAGCAATATACCAAAAAAAAAAAAAATTGGTGATTCCTGATTTACAACATGAAGATACAGATCAAAATTTCATTAGTATGTACTATTTAATATATAGATATCAAAACATAAAATAAATCCAAAGCAAAAACTTATTAGAATACATAAGTATATTTTAAAATACTATAAAATAATGTATGATTCTAACACAACTTGGAAGTTTGAAATTAAATAGTTCAAATTTTATATTAGTAAGTAATAACTCTTAGTAAATAATTACCTTGATTAAAAAGTGTAAAATTTAAATGTAATTTGTTCAATTTAACAAACAAATAATGAACCGTAGATCATACGTAGGTACTTCTAATTTACATTGAAAATAAGATAACTTAAAATTTAATGCAAAGAAAATAAGAAATGTTGAAAAATGCTGATCCTTGATCCTGATTTCAGAATTCCGATTTCCAACTTCCAACTCCAAGATATTAAATAATGATAATTGATAAGTAGTAGGTACGCATAAATAGTAAACAACTTAAATCATGGAAGAAATTAAATTTCATTATTTAAAAAAACAGTGACATTTTAATTACAAAATGCATATTTATTATTTAATAATGGAACTATAATTCTAACGAATTATTTAGCAAAAATAATTCAGTAATTACTAGTTTGATAATATAAAAATTAATTTTTAAAACAATTTTTAGTATAATTAACGGTTTTTCTTCTTTTCGTTACACGCTAATGATAAGATAAAAGATAAGCGCCGTTTTCTTAAATATTTGAAAAATTATAATTTATCATTAAACCTTTAGGTTTAGTCTTTATTATACAATAATTGTACTAGAATGTCATATTCTTTTAGTGTAGGAGTATTAAAGTGTCGCAAGAAGAAGTTCTTAAGTTTATTATGTTTATATAATTGATAACAGTTTTTGATATACTTGCCTTTTGTCGTTTTCAAAATATTTGTCTAAGTATTAATTTGGAATGTTTAAAGCTGTACAATTAATTTCTTGTGTGGTTTTTTATTATTAATAAAAATCATGTCGTTTTCGGTGTTTGATGATCAGCTAGAAATTATTAAGGTACTTATGCATTTTATTTTAGTAATACAAAATATTTGAAAAAAGTATACCTAGGTGTATTTAATTAACTTAAACATTAATTTTAGAAATTTGAAGAAGATATAAAATATGTTAATTCCAAAATGAAAACGATCGATTTAAAACTATCATCCATTCATCCAACTAACAGTGAATATGTTAGTAAACTTAAAGGTAAATTCAAAAAATTTTAATGTAGGTAATTGAATGTATCTAACTTGTGGTGTTATGTTTATAATTTTAAATGTAGCTAAACTGTAAAGATATTCATTAAAATTTTTAAAGACTTCAAATTATAAATATGTTGAATATATATCATAAATCCAATATTTTACTAATTATTTGAAAATAATTATTACAGTGATTACACATTATCTCTGATCTAATATAAATTACCTAGATTGTTTCTTTTTATTTGAATACATTTCAGATATATTATTTTAGGTAACAGTTTAACTGTTATGTAATTACTTATTCAAACCAATAATGGCAAGCCTTAACCAAATTAAAATGGGGCTCCCATCTCATTTTAATTGTATTTAAGTATTCATATTAAATGAAAAAATTGTTTTAAAATCTCAATCATTTGAAATTTACTATACTGCAAAGTGTAAACTAGTTGGGTTAATAATTATTTTATTTAATAAGGGCCTATTCTATAAAGAATCAAAAAATTTATGGTAGTGAAATTTTTTATTTATTTAGATAATTTTTTAGTATTGTTAATCATATATTTAAGTACTGATAGTTTTAAAGTTCTTACTTGAGACTTGTTATAGGTCACTATCCTGTAACATCCTTATCATACATATAAGTTTCCAATTAAATTTAACGCCTCAAGGCAATTGTTTTTGTTGCTCCTGTGATAACTATGATATAGAAACTCACCTAATATAATAGTAACTATTACAAGTAATGAATATATTTATCTGCTCAAAGTGTATTGTTAGTTATTACTTATTAGTTATCTCTATTGTCCATATTTTCAGGTTTTTTTTATACAATTAATAAATATATTATACAGTTTTATATGAGTAAAAAATATGAAAAATTTCTTTAATACAGATATGACAGGAAAAAATATTTTTCAAATATTTAAGAATAATTTAGGGCTTATGGAATATTTACTTTCTTTAGATGTCTCGGAATATTTTGAGAAAAATATTTACACTATTTAATTTTAAGACCTACTTAAACATTTTTTTTTTTTTTTAATTATTCACAGTTAAATATTTGTTTTTCTTTTATGATAAATTAAATTAATATTTTATTTTTTTTAATAGTTGGTTATTTTTCTCAAAAAAGTTACAAATGACAAATTTTTTTTTGATGGTTTTATTTTAAAACAGATACTTTATTACTTAATATTTATTAAGTATCTATATCTATTATTCATTACACAATTTAAATTCTATGTAGTTTGGATTTTGAAAAATTGGTAAAAAAAAATAAAAAAGTTGTATTTAAATTAAATTAATAATAATATGGCCAATATGGGTAATAATTTAAAGATTAGAATTACTTATTAAACCATAGATCCTCTCTCAGTGACAACATAATAAAATTAAAATATGAAAATAATAAGAATTATTTAAATTTATATGGCACATACAAATTATTAAAGAGATCTTTTAGCACGTTTTATGAAATGAAACCTTGATTTTCAGATTATTTTATTGTTGACATATTTTACTACATTGACTACATTATTTCTATGAATATTTTCAATAAATATTTGTTTAAACATTTATTTAAAATAAGTTTAATTAAAAAATATGTAAAAATAATCATTAATCATCAAGTATTAATATGCAAGTATAAAATTAATGTTCAACAAAAAAAATACTCCCAAAAGTAAGTATCACTTATCATTAATAAGAAATACTAGAGTAATTGTTTAACTTGATGTTATTTAGAACATACAATGTATAATAATTGATAATTAACAAACAATAATAAAAAAAAAATAAACTGTCATTGATTAATTTATTATAAATATTTGCTTTAAGTAAATAGTGCAAATGAATGATACATTATTAAAAAAATAAAAAAAAATCATAAAATTTGCTGCCGAAACCAGGGATCGAACCAGGGACCTTTAGATCTTCAGTCTAACGCTCTCCCAACTGAGCTATTTCGGCTGATAAGAAGTGTTGCAATTATGGATGTATAAAACGCAATCTATTGTTTCAACATTTTAACTATGTTACTCTAAATCCTTTCATTTACAATTTTAATACAATCTTTAAAGTTTTAACCTTGCAGAAATACGACTACAGATAATATAAAATAATAATAGTAATTTATTTTATAATCTATGGTGTGAGTATACGACCTACTCACCTACAGTATATTAGGCATTAGGTTTATGTGGTAAAACAACTAAAATACCATATCCATAAATAAAATAAAATTACTAATTTCTTTGAGAACTATTATCATATTATATAGGAATACAATTTAATAAATAATACAATTTCATTTTGCACATTATGAAAACCGAGTTTTGAGCGAAAATATTTTGCGAGTTGAATAATTTTTTCTAACATTTTTATTAGAAGTTCAAATTGTTCAATATATAAATTGGTATTTACAATAAGTGCTTTCGTGATTTGCAATGTTTTAATAATTCAATGAATCTCTGCTGATTACTCTTAAAGTACTAACCAATAATTACGCCATTTGAGGAGATTAGTAAGAATGAACTTAGCGGAGATATGGCTGTATTATCGATGACGAGTGTAATTCCGAATTCTGTGATTTAAAAAGCAAGCAAGAAATTCATACGGAATTCTTGTATAGGTAGTTCACATCATAATATGAAAAATACTACATAGTACATACTAAATATTGCTATCAAAAATAACGATAAGGAGTGTCAAATACGAGTTCTGTAATTATTTTTAGGACACATTATATAAATTACTTATATAACTTATAAATCTTGATTTAAAAAAGAGGTTTATTTGAAGTATTTTTTAATTTTAAAATCTATGATTTAGCATAATTTTTCAATTTCTATTCTAAAACTGCATGCAAATTCAAATTTAACATTTTTTTTTTTATGCATTAAATTCATAGTTCTATTAAATATTTATTATTAATTACTAATTAGTTATATATTGATGTATAGTTTTGGATATAAGTTATTATATTCTATTCTATAATATATATTATATATATATATATATAATATATATATTTAAATAAATATTTTACATCAATTTAATAAAAATAAAATAATTGCCGAAGCTAGGGACTTCTAGATTTTTAGTTTAACGCTCTTCCAACTGAGTTTTTTCGGCAGATAAAGGTTATGCTTATTTATGTCACAAAAAATGAATTAAAATAAGAACAATTAAAATATATAAAAAAAATTACAAAAAATCGATGCCGAAACCAGGGATCGAACCAGGGACCTTTAGATCTTCAGTCTAACGCTCTCCCAACTGAGCTATTTCGGCCGTGTGCATTGTTGCCATTTCTACAGTATGTAAGACGACTTTAAACTATTATTGATTTAAATGTAGATGGCGTTGCTGTAATCTATTGGTTTTTAATTAATTCAATCTAATCATTTAAATACCGAAGAATTATCTTGAAGGTTTTTAATGCATACGAAAAGAGTCCTCTATTTTAAAAGATATTTTAAAATGTATTTATTTTACTTATTGCAATTATTTTTCGTAAGTGTTAACGAAATTGAGGGTTGGACTAATTTTAGTTATTGTTAAGGCAATACCGCATACCGTTGAACGGTATAAAATAGCTTAAAATTATTTTAATATCTATTTTTAAAATTGTGCTGTGTATTCAAGTATAAACAGCTTGAATATTATGCATATAGTTTTTAATTTTAATGAATAAAGTATTATTAAACATATTTTATACATTATAAAGTAGTATTAAATATATATATTTATAAACATTATCCTCCTAACAAAATAATTTGGTAACAAATGTATTACTATCATATTTTATAATACTTACATATTTTTCTAGGCGCATCTAGTATGAGTAGTGTACACGATTTAAAAGACAAAGAAACAGAAAAGAAAACTGAAGACCTTCCCAACTCTTCGGCTAAAACTTCATACAGGTAAGAGTTTAATATTATATTTTTAAATGACAGTTTTTGTTCATTATCAGCTATATACATAATTATGCTAGTTCTATTATTTAGTGCTTAGTTATACTTATTTACTTAAAATGTCTAGAATAGTAGGATTCCCTAGTATTATTAATTATTTATTATGGCCATTGTGGGCATGTCTAAAATATTTTAGTTTATACTATAAAATGAACTATTATATATAAATTATAATTATAATAAAGTATAGTATTTTATCGGGACCATAATGGGCGGACTGGATTGACGGGATACTGGGAATATTCCCGGTCGAATTACTGCTCAAAAATTATTTATTATTATTATCACAGTCCATAGACTAAATACAATATTGTATCGTAAGAAATATAGTCTATCTATATGATAAATATTAACTTTATAATAGCATATGTGTATTTTATGTCTTTATATAACGCGTGACGTGTGAGTGTGGAAAATTTTTCACATTATATATTTGAAAATATATATCAGGTTTTTGTTCAATAATAATTCCTTATTCGTAAATAAAAGAATTTCCAACGCCTTTTGGCCTCGTCGTCAATTGTTCCTATTTTATTCGTATAGTAGTAATTATTAAGCTATAATTCAAAAAAATATTAATTAACCATGGTAATAACAGTTATAACTTATAACCATGTCTATTAACCTATGTGTCCATTGTCTAATATAAACGACTCACGAATAATTACAAATTATATAATAATAATAAAATTGTTCACAATACCACAATAACATGTTATAATATTTTAATAGATATTAATAAGTTAATAGCGTTTGATAATAGCAATTACGACCGTTCAATGTATAAAGTTCTAAAAAATGACTATTTTTTATAATCGCTATAAGAAAAATGTGTTATATATAAATTCACATAATCGAGAATGCTATTACTCGCATTTGTTGTGTCTGTTTGATATAAGCGGATAGCATGGTAAATGTATGCTCAGCAGTTCACATTTGACTTCGTTTAGTTGGAGTGAATTAACCTATTATGAAATATAATGGGAAGGACATTTACTATGTTCGTTTGTTACGATAATTCTGTTTTTAAGTAAGTTAAAGACCTTACGAGTATTTTTAAATAATGTTTTTAATATTCACAAAACTTGCTAAAAAGAAAAAATACCTTCATGTAATCATAGATTAAGTTCTTGATCATTAAACTTCATAATATGTCGATTCACCTTAATTTTAATTTTAATATTAATAAAGTTAAACGCGAACTGCTGAGCGTAAATTTGTTGTTACACACTTATAATTAGACGGAGACAACAAATAATGGTAGTGTAGGCGTGTTAAAACAAGTATATTTCTGTAATTATCAAACTTGCTGTTTTTAGATATTAACAATTTTCTATCATTTTCATTGCGACATTACAATTTTTTTTTTAAAACTTCGAAGATTTTATCTAAGCAGTATCGTTAAAACTATACTCTTAGATTCACTTTAGATTCAAAACTAAGTCCAATTGTATATTTTTGATTTCATCATCATTCTCAATTCATCAAAATACATAACTGTTAAAGTTTTTTTTTTAAAAGGTACCGGTAAATTAATATTATACCTACACAGTTTGATAATACAATTTGTATTATTAAATATTTATATCTAACGTTAACACTAATTTAATGTATAGGTTATTTATTTATTTATTAAATCTAACATCGCAAAGGCACATAATACACTATTAATAAGTAAGTATATATTAAATAAAATAGTACAATAGTAACTTAAAAGTTAAAATTACATATTACACTATTACAGTATTTACTGTAGATAATAGTAAATTAGTATTCATCGGATAATTGATAATTATTATAATATGTAAATTGCTATGAAAATGAAATATCTTAGAAGTTATAGAAGTTATTTAAAAAAATATCTATTAGCTTATCATAGATATATCATATTACTATTTATCTAAGTATCTATACTATTTTGCGTTGCTATATGTTATTTAATTGAACATTATGTATATCATTTTTTACTTCTATTGAATATACACATTTTTTTAATTTGGTCAGGACTATGGGTCTATAATATTTGAAAAATATGAAAAAATTCATATACTTTTAATTGATTATGAATAATGATTTTTTTACGTATTAAAATAGTGTTACTAAAGACGTTTGTTTACTGTGATTACTGACTGATGAACAGGAAACAGTCTTCGGTCTTTGTAGCTATTTATAACACTATTCCTCGAAAATCAGTTCAGATTCTTACGAAATTTTGAATATAAGTATAAATAACTCATACCTGAATAATTCCTATCCTGTCCTAGGTGTAGCACTTTAATTTGATTTTAAAATTGATTATATCATTCATTACGTATATATTCTCACTTATGGGGAACATTCTATCTTTTATACTGACTAAAATGTACCTATTTCTAGAAACAACAATTATTTCGCTGTCTTTATGGTATATATACTAATAACCTTCCCAAGTTTTTTGAAAAAATCAATTATTTATCATTATTATAAAATTTACTTCTAACAATTATGAAAATTATATAATTGAGTTTTTACTGTTGTTTTTATTTATAATACACAATTATAAAATACAGACGATGTTTTGCGAATTATCCCATTTATAAGTTAGTAATTTCTAATCGTTCTGACTAACGACGTGCGTTGCGCATCACCATTCTCGTCGTAATCGGCTGCATTTATACTTCTATATTTTGTAATATATTTTATTAAAACAATAAAGTTATTGACAAGTCTTCAAAAGCAAAAACAAAATTATATTTTGCTTATAGTTTTGGATTTGTATAATATACAGGTAATATACCTACTTGTGTATTTTAATATTTTTTAAGCATTTATAAATTTATAATATTTTAAATTTAGTAACTTAAATAGTGTTAACTTTTTTTTTACTCTTAGTTAGACATTAATATGAATAAATAAATGTAGATATTTCTGCAGTATCTTATGTACCTCACTTCTATATTATTTTCTAAACAAAACCAATACAATAATTGTGTTAAGTAATAAGTACATTCAAGTGTGTAGAGTTTTTTTTTAAATATATTAAATAATTTTGTATTTTTTTATTACTAATCTAACGTAATAATTTAATATGATACCATTTTATTTTTAGTAGGAAAATAGTTGTTCATTCGTGTTAATAGAAGGACGTATACCTATATTTTTATAAGTATAGGTTAGGTGCGTATTATGTGAGGAAACCGGTGTTCTTTTACTAACAAACACATGCTAGCAACTGAAACTGCAGATGTCTTTGGACTTATTGTTAAGAGAATTTTTTATAGTTCTGTGCACCTTTTTGATCAGCTGCCTTAGATAGGTATGATGCAAGATAGTGCTCGTGCCATAGAACCCCTTGTTCGACCATATTTTCTACAATAAAATGAGTGTGAGGGAAGGGTCCTTATTTCTTTGTATCCAAAGGCTTTCTTCACTTATTCAATAGCTTACAACATATCATTATACTTCTTTGTTGCTACTTCATAAAATAGAATTATAGAAATGAATCTACTGAATAGATGAATCACGAATATCATTATTTATAAAATGTCTAAGTGGGCATGGCCGTTTTCGACCAAATTTAAAATAGGTTGATTCCCTTTTCGACTAAAATCGTACTCTTCCCTTTTCGAAATCGGTGTTTTTTTTTTTAATTTGGTCGAAAAAGAAATCGGCCGAAAAGAGAAGGGTACGATTTTGGTCAAAAACGGTCTCGCTCGTCTTTTGATAACACATTAACACAACATACAATACTTTATATTTACCTAATTTTTAATGCATAGTACTAATTTTTTACAGTTTTACATAAATTATCTAAACTTTAAAAAGTATAACAGTAGGTATATTACACAATCGTAATCATCTATATTCTATACTATACGAATAAATTAGGTGTCTAGGTATATATTTTATAACTTAGTGATTAATGATTAGTTATACCATTTTCTTAAAATTATACTCGCTTTTTATGAGATACATGAAGTAATAATACTTAAAGATTAAACTTTTCTGATTTTACAAAAATTATGTAGTCACCTCACTGAAAATAAAAAAAATTAGTGCCTGTATTTTGATCTATATATTAATATTACCTACATATATTTAACTGCTGTTCATTTGCATGACATGTATGTGGCTTGAAACACGTTAAAATTAAGTCTATTTTTAGACAAAGATTGGCCCAAGTCATTAAATGTATACAAATATAACAATATATTACGCAATTTTGTTTCGTTGTTTCGGTGTACGTCTCTATACTTGAAATTTTATTCTATCACTCTATGTATGATTTCTCTACTCCGTTTTCTATCCTATAATTTTATAACCACGTTACTACCTAAATGTTCATTAACAGGTAGTAATAATTTGAGCAGTCTCAAGTTTTTTGGATAGGAGAAAAACAGCATGTCGTGTGTGTGTCATTTTTTACACGTGTTTACTATGGTCTATGGCGTATACGCAGGCCCATCGTCAATAATTGTTGCGAATTATAATAGACAGCCTCCCCTCCATGTACAATTTTTAAAGTATAGTTATGAATACGTTATGATAACGTAATGGAATACAAAAGTGACATTACTGTTTACTTGTTTGGAATATATTTTGAATTGTAGAGTCATTCTCGAGTTTGAAATGCAGTTAACGTTTTGATAAATAAGAAATAACAACACGTTGTGCAAACAAACGAGATAACGTAAAGAAACCAACCAACCTTGGCATGGGTGATCCATAAATGTGTTTTGCATATAAAAAACTCGCTTAACCTGAATACTATTGAAGTAGTCTAGAAAATACATGTACAATACGTACATCGTACACGATATACACGCGCGATACGTGCATAATAAATATATTAAAGTATTTAAGTATTTATGTATAGTGTATGTATATTATTTTTATATCTTCTGATACTTTCAATTCTTATTTTATACGTCTTATTATTACTTATGTAAAATAGTGGTTAGATCTGTATA